GTGTAATCTCTAAAACCTAAATGCATTTCAAATGATTTTTTTTCAATAAACTCTTATAGTTTATATGTTATTTTCTCTACCCTATCTCAAAACTGGATCGGTCAATTCGACTGACCTTATAACCACCAAAAAAAAATCGAAATACACCTAAATTAACTTTCTTTTCTTTCTAGTATGACTTCAAATTGTAACATGAAACTACATTTGTTTATCCTAAGTAGCTCTTAGTTCGTAACATTATATATCTATTTATAATTAAATTTTAGCGTTTTATTGCCCTTTTTATTGCCATTTGAACCGTGTCTAACTGCTATCTGCACCATTATAAGTTGTAAATCACTAAGGGAACGTGCAGCTCACGTTACGCTATCGAATTACATTATCCACGAGCTGCTAGCATGCATGCCTTGTGAACCATTTTAATTATATTATTATTATTATTACTTATTTTATCTATTCTAAAATAATTTAAAAAGATCCATACTTTTAATTTTAGTTACTTTTATAATAATAATAAATAAAGAATAAAAATGAAAAACAAGAAATAAAGTACTTATCCAATCTTTTTTTCTTGCCCTTGATCTTTGAGTAGAGTTAAGCCTGATTTTTTTTAGCAATTATGGTAAAGCACTTAACAATTTTTATTTAATTAAATAATACACCAAAGAATATAGGCTAATAACATGCAGAAAGTAGACAAATTCATCCAAGCTAGTTGTTAACTTTCCCATGGGAACAGTGTTGCTACTCAGAGTGAAATTGACGGTTATCTGTTCAGAACACAATGTTATACAATACGCCATTTGAAAGATGAAAACCATGATTTTCTATTGGTTATAAATAATATATAATGAAACGTAAGAGAGAACTATCAACAAATTGTGAAAGAGAGGATGTGACAGGTGGGTGTGGCAGGAGGGGTCTGATTTTCTATTAGATAGCTCTGTAACCAAACAAAATTGAAGGCTATAAAAATTATGGTCTGTTTTAGCAATAATGATTTTATAGAGAGTAATTTACGTTTAATTTCGTAAATTTTCGAGGGGGTGATGGATAAAATAGGGATAATGACAGGCTAAGACAAAATGTGTCGTGTGTTACACTAGTGGAAATTCAGGATTTTTTTATGTTTCCTTTTAGAATTAATAACTTAAAACTTGTATACTATTAAAAAAGGGATTATTAGCTAACATTGTGTGCTATTTTAATTGGTATAACATAAACAAAAAGTAGTTTAATAAAATTTTGAATGTAAGACACTAAAACCTTGCTTCATGCACAGTAAAGGGTACCTGGGCCGATAGGGCTAATAACCTATAGGAAGACTGGTATTTTTCTTTATGAAAATAAAGCTATGGTTATAGTTGCTTTGTGTCCATAATTGTGTATGTTATAAAAAGTAAATGAGCAGAATCTATGATTTAATTTATAGGAATACGAAAACAGCAGAATGTAAATTTTATAAAAGACAGAATTCTATAATTGACCTGAGACTAGCTTAACTTGATGTTTTATTGACATATTCATTTTATTTGCTGTATGTTAACTTGCAAAGTTATCATTGATCACATTTTTGATAGTAGCCTGGTAAATAAATGGTTGAATAATTTGTTTTTACTCTTGTGCTGAAAATTAAGGTTTCTTGTTGGTTCTAAAGTTTCTGAATTTTTCTGTAACTTAATTATATGCATAGAAAGTTAATTATCATTCCAGTAACTTATTTATGTTAAAATTAGTTTTTGTTTTATTCCCGTATATGTTAAAATGAATTATCTTACTTTATAAGGTTTTATTATTTCAAAGCATCTTTATTTTAAAATGCTTCTTTGTACACATATGTATTTCATAGTGAAACTAATTGCTGTTTTTCTTTTTTTCAGAACATCAGTTATAGTTTTGTGGAATTACCAGTTTATGTACTTATGGGAACCATAGGTAAGTAGTTAAATTTGAGAAACCTTGTACTTTTAGTGTGAATATTTAGCCGGGATCATAACATAAAAGGAGCTTAATACCTTCACGTATCCTGACACTAACCAAATATTGTGACTAATAAAATCAACTAATATGTCCCGCATATAGGCCAATTTTTCATGTAATATGTTCTGCATATAGACGAATTCCTCAAGCAAATCTTTAAGAGCTCTTCAACTCAAGTTTTTATCCTTTTATTTTTGTTTGGAATGCAGTTAACATTTATTTCTTTGTGAAATAAACTACTCAGCATTGTCTTATAAATATATTACATATATTTTAAACCTAGATATTTTCACATTTATGAAAACAATTTGATGGAAGATTATGTTTTTGCTTACAAACAAAGCTACAATAAATAATAATAATGTTTTCACCAAGTGATTCAGAGGGTGTATTTAAGTGTGTTGCAAATGTTTTCAGTAATATACTTCTCACACTTAACAGAACTAGCCCTCTGATCATGTGAAGCTGTATGATGTTATTTTAGCCACATCAGAAACTTCTCTAGAAGATAGAATATATATTACAAATTAATAAAAAGTTCTTAACAAAAGGCACAGTTTTTGGACTGTAGTACACTGTGTACACTGAATTTTTCTTGCAAGTTTACAAAGCAGAATTTATGTGATTTAATGTATAGGAGGACAAAAAGTCTGCCTAGTTAAAAGAGATAAAGTGTTCATATTAAAAATATTGTATGTTTGAATAACAGTAAATATTAAAGCACAAGTTAAAAATAATACTGTATTGATCTGATTTCACTCTATTTTTATTGAAAAATTATATTACTTTAGTTTAGTTTATTAGGACTTATGTTTTCAGTGTACGAACATTTGTCTAGCTGTAAATACTTCATTTACAGTAAAAACTGTTGTTCTCAGCATTTATTACTAAATAGTCATTGTATAATGATTGCACTTTCTTTATATAACACAAACCCCCTTCATTTGCTATAAGAACAACTTAATTTTATGATTCTCACAATCAATAAAACATAGATATGTGCATTGTATGTGTTAAACCTTAGAACTGCTTCCATAAAGGTCTAGAAACATGTTGACCATAGTGAACAAAAAAAAACTGCAAAAGATACATTAATGTGTATATAGATATTACTAATACTTCACTGAGCTGAAATACCAAAGCATGTTACTTTTTTATAGCTGCATACTTTATAAAGTAACTGGTGGCTTTTGAGCAGATACTGCCATAAAGTTGTATCTCCAAACTTCTGTTTGACATATCACTATTTCTTCAAACAGGTATGGCAGGTTCTTCTAAAAACTAATGCAGGTACATCTTTTGAGTTTTATTGATATCTAACTTGTCGGCATCCACGGAACTAATATTTCTATTATGTGCCTACAAAGAAAAGCGGCAATTTCATTGTCAAACATATAGTCAGTTACACATCCATATAAATAAAAACTTTAGAAACCATTCTCAGAACAATTGTATTTACCAATAAACCTAAAATAACCTTTTCTGGATTTTTTAATTAAATGTAAATGCTAATTTATGGAATAGTAAATAAATGAGGTACCTTCTTACTTCTATCAGTTTTCAAGAATACTTGTTCATTTGTAATTGAAGTGCAACAGACATTAGGAGAGTTAGTGATGGCACTAACAGTTATGTGAATTTAAGGTTTTCAATTTACCACAGATTTATCACTATTGACAAAGAAAATATTTTTTACTGGCTGAAGTGGTGGTTTACATGGCGGTGACTGGTATACCACAAAAGTGGTGTTTAAGTGGCTCCTGTAACAGAACCAAGAAAGGCACAACCAAGCCAGTCTTGGCTCTGTTCATGCCAGTTAAGAAAGTGACCCAGCCTGGGGCTTTATAGTGTAAACTAGTTGAAATAACAGCATTTACATGCTGTTATCTTCCCAGAGTTTACCCCATACCATTTGGCCCACTTGGTTTTGTGTGGTTTTCTGCAAAAGCAGTGGTAAAGGACACCTATGTCACCAGTAGCCAATAAATTTACCACAAAACTTAGCTATAGTCTTACTTGTACATAAGAATTTACTTCGATAATACAACCTTTTTTCACACTGTGTTGATTGTCCACAAAATAATTCATGTTACTTTGAAATATGCATCTTTTAATACAAAAATGTTATCATGCACTAGGATATAATGTCTCAAAACTACTGTAATTTAATTGACTTTATAGCTAAGCTACAAATGGGTTAAAACTTCCATTAACTGCTCAGAGTATTGTCTTGGTTCAACACATAACAGTATGTATTTGGAAACTGCCAGCTCTCAAGTTAAGATGCAAACAAAGAAAACTAAGAAGACAATACATTGAATTTTGTTCTATTTATTTGTTATAAACATGTCTAGTAGCAATATTAGATAAAATAATATACCTGTCTGGAAAGACAGAGAGAGAGAGAGACAGTAGGGCATGTCTTGTGGATGTTGAAAATTTATCGATATTACAGTAAAGAAAAGCAAGAAGATTAGATGCTAATATATTATATTCTGGCTTTTCAATATCTATAGTATGAGTTCATACTTAGATGGACACTCTGAAACCCATAACAGGAGTAGAAAGAGAAACTAAAATGAATTCGGAGTGCAGACTTGTCACAAAAAAGTGAAGATTGATAATTTTTTTTAATTAAAAAATTAGATCTTAGATGATATAAAATTTGAATTATAAACTTTATTTTGATGCTAATATTATTGACATACATTTTTAATAAAATAGTTTAATTAAATATTAAATGTAATTCTGTAAAATTATCATGACATTTGACCCTCATGCGTACGTAGTGTTTTAGTTGCAATTCTTTCATTGGTCTTGAACTGACCACAACTAAAATTATATATGTACACACACATACACTCACACACTTCTTCAATAATTAGATTTGGAAGTCTTTCTGTTTAATTTTGTTAGTTATAGTACAATATGATTGTCATGTCTCATAGAAGTGGACCTTTAAATACATAAGGATTTCCAGTATCGTGAACCTATCAACAGATGCACAATAGTAACAAATGTCATTGATACTTATAAACAGTTTATTCTACAATTTATATAATTACATTAAGAAGCTTGAACTCACATATAAATTAATCTTAAAATTACTTTTCAGATTTAATTGATAGTAATTAGTGAATTTTAAAATTTTATCTTCTAATAAATGCATGTATTTTCATTTTAAAATTAATTACACCTTATCAACAGAAAAAAACTTAACTGTTTCTGAGTAATTTGACGATGCTGATTCTAAAAATCATGTTGAAAATTGCTGATCAACTCTAGTTTACGAGTTATGATAAATTTATTCAAAATATTCTTATATATTATGAAAATAACTTTTTATTTATAACTTTATTTATTCATTGAAAATTGTATTTAAGAATGATTTTCAGGTAACAAGTTCTTTTTGATTGAGTACTGTTTCAAAATCATCATCTATCAGCACTTCCCAAACAAAGATATTTCCTTTCATTTTTGCCTCACTGATTTTTGGAAACTTGTCAGACAAGTATCTGAAACCATGACCATCTTTGTTTATTTCTTTTTACATAATTGTTTATGAGTTCCAGTTTAATATGAAGTTGGTGGCAGAAACACATTTTGAGGATTCACTAAAGGTTGGTATTCAATATTCTGTTTCCCTGGAATGTAATTCTCTCTCACTGGCCATTCCTTCTTTTTTGAAGTGATTTTTATCTTCTGAGCTGTCCCAGAGCAACAATGTTTGGTATCCCTAATCTGCAGGCCTAGCAGGAATGCAGTAACTTTTAGATCACCACATACGTTCCACCTATGATGATCATAGTTGATGGCCTCAAGTACAGTCTGTATGCTTTGATAAGTTTCTTTCATGTTCACAGCATGAGCAATAGGAATCGATGGCTTAGTGTTCCCATTGTGCAAAAGTACAGCTTTCAGACTAACTTTAGATGAGTAGATAAAAAGTCTCCATTCTTGAGAATGATGTTCAGTACCTACTTCTTACATTAGTGCATCAACGTGTGTACAGAAATACAAAGTATCTTGCATGCTGTTGTGAGAAGCAAGACTTTGATGGCAACTTCGATAAATTGAGACTCTTGTTCCTGGAGCTAATAAACTGTTGCTGTAAGTGAGAGCCAAGCAATTCTCCATGCTGCTTTTATAGAGACAAGTCACGAATCAGGTCATTTAGGTCTTCTTGTGTGATCAAATGAGGGGGTTTATGTTGAGGTACAACAGGAATATAATTAGGAGATGAAGAGGATGAGATGATTCATTGTCTTCTTCACAGGATAACTCTTCTGTTTCCCAATTAGCTGGTGGATGTGGCACTGGAAGACCATCCCCATGAGGTACTGGTTTCATTGTAGATACAATATCTAGATATTTAATGTATTGTTTAGTTTTACTTGAATATCCAGAAACATTAGTCATGCAAAAATAACAGTCAGTTAGATGATCTTTGTGTTCATGCCATATCATGGGAACTGCAAATGGCATACTTGCTTTTCTGTTCTTATTTAGGCCTTTTAAATTCTAGTTCTGGAAACATAAATTATTTGATATTTTATAGAAGATCATTTGACTGTCTCCAGTTCAAGTAAAGTACAAAAGTGCTAAAAATCACCCAACCAGTTCCTACTACATCAGTAGAAAATATAAGTTACAGTTTCACAAAGGACAAACATCACACACAAGGTAAAGGTTGCTTACTACCACAATTTGGGAGCCAAGAAATACATTGGGCTCTACATGTGTGTTGTACAGTTTGCACATTTGGCTTGACACAGTGGTTTAAAAACAAAGTTTTCTAGAATTTGATTACATCACAGTTATGATGTGAGGAAGATGATCAGACTGTGTTTTGACTGTGTGCAGAGCAAGGTGAAGTGATGAACTGAGTGAGTGAGAGGCAACTGAGATAGAGGCGCCTGACTCCACCACTTTTATGCTCAGTCGAGGGATTTCTT